TATGGTGGAATACCCAGTCCATTTGTTGAGGCTCGACTCGTCAAATGGGGCAAACAGGATCAAGAAAATCATCAACTGGGATCCGCGAACCACGGTTTAGTTGATCGAAACCCTGCATTAAGAACATCAACGCATTCCGGGTCGATTTTATCTGGATTATTGGCGAGCAAACGGAGACCAGCTTCTTCGACACCGTCGTCAGCGACAGCGACAGCGACACCGACGACATCGATGAATACTCTGTCTTTTTCTCATCACTACGACGGGGAACAAAGGGGAAAGAAGTCGGTGCTTTTGGTGTCTCCGGTTTTATTTCAAGCCAGGACGGAGACGGTCAAGAAAACACGGAACCCGAGGTTTGATCAGACCATTGAAATTGATATGAATGTTTCTGATCTAGTGGTGAGTTTATTTTTATTTTTTACTATTCCATGTTCGAAAATATTCTTCAAGTAATATAGAAATCTTGAAAAATATTTTTCCTACAGTATTTCTCGGACGCATTATATATGAGTATAGATATCGAAGTGAGAAGCAATCGAAAAAAGCAAAAAATTTGAAAAAAGATATAAGAGTACAGTATATACAGTACGGTATTCTCGTTATTTTGGCTATTTCTTCTTTGTGTTTTACAAAAGGTAAATCTTGGGAACCCACGATTTTTAGCAGGATAATTTTTTGTTATGTTGATAATCTGATGAGATTCAAAATTTAAAATTCTAGAAGTCTCATGTGATCTATGACCTCTTATTTAAGGGGTGTGAAACTTGGCCGATTTTCTCAACGTTGATGACATCGCAAAACACAGAATCAACGTCGTGTTACGAGGATTTCATTCATTTTTCAATGATATATGAGTAATTTGACTGATATCAACAACTTCAAATGCCAATATTCCACCAATTCAAGGGAATGCAAACTCGGACTTGATCCTCATCATACCCTCTTATTGATATAAACATATACTTTACCTCATAAGTTTAATATCAAAATAAATTTCCGACTCAAATTACCTCTGCAATAGAACTCTAATTTTTTTCTTCAATTTCATAGGACACAAACCTTCAGTTGTCTGTGCTTGACGACGACAAATTTGGCAATCCCACTCTAATGGGCACGACTTTGCTGAGCTTGCCAAAAGACGAACTGCAGCTTTACGTCGGTCGGAACGCCACATTTACTCGTTGCATCGTTCCCACAACCC